GAAAAAATGTTCCCTTTTAAAAGGTCTGTCACCTTAACAGGTACATTCAAAGATTCCCCGTGAATAATGAAAATAGGAACAATTGCTTTGAAGCACGGAGCTGCATTCATAGGACAGCTTTAGGCTGCGTTTGGAGAGGATGGGAGGGGCTCCTTTGAAAGGAGTGATTGCTCCTTTAAATTCAATTTCCTCTGGCAAATGGGTTCTATTGGAAGTGTCATTCTCCTCAACTCTCTCGCACCCTTAAGGCTGGGCTTGAGATCCCGCCCCAGGGCTCTCCTCCCAGTCTCCCCAGACCTTTAGTTTGTTTCTCCTCTCTCCCCCCCAACCCAACTCTGAGCACCCGCCCACCTCCCTGAAAGAAATTTCTAGAAGGGCCATGAAAAGTGAGAGGAAACTGCAAGGAAGGTACACATGGGAGGGGAAAAAAAACTGGTGGAAGTTATTCTTCTCTTTCTACCTATGAGCTTACTGTTCTTTTTCCACCTAGGGACTCTATAACCACTACCAATGTGCTCTCTCTCTCTGTCTCTCTCTTACATATATGATGCTTGCATGCACCCCACACCTGCACACACAGAGACCCTGTCGCCCTCTGTGACCACTTTTATTTGGAACAACTGCCTTTCTGGCAATTGACCACAGTCAGACTGGACCAAGCAAAATACATTTCTAACCCGGATCAGATATGATTGCACACAATTGGTGGGGAGTGGGGATGGGGGGAGGAGAGGGGGGTGGAGCCCAGAAATCAAAGACTCCACATCCCAGAGGGTGTGCGAGGGGGTGGGGGCTGAGCTGTGAGGACCGTTTCAAACCACTTTAGAATAAGGACCCCAGGAGGAAGGAGGTCTACCAGCACCAATGTCTCTGTCATCTGGGCCCACTGATGCCCTGAAGATGGGCTGCTGGGTCCCAAGGCCACGTCCGACCCTTGGCCTTGGGCATTTGCTGGTCGCTGAGTGGGAGGGTGAAGGAGAGAGGTCTTGGCTCCTCCTCTCTGCTCCGAATGTCTGGGCTGGCCCAGGGCACAGGGGTGAGAGGTCACCCTTCCTGCTCCGCAGCCCACCCCAGCTCTTTTCCAGTTTAAAGCTACCATGGGACTTGTTCTCAGAAAGTTGGATTCAACCACGACTGACCCCAATTTTCTCACCAATTTTCTCTTAGTGGAACAAGTCCCTGGTTTCTAACTCTCATCTTTGTTTTCTTTCTCTTTTCATTCCACGTGTATAGTCCTCTAAAAGGTAATGTTTTGGGAGCACAGAGTTCTGTTTCTGTTTTTCAAGGAGGGGGGCATGTTGAAAACTGGTGTCCAGTGCTTCTCGGGTGGAGAAATTGTCAAGGGTGACCTCAAACATCTTAAACTTCCCTCTTAAAGAAATGTAGGTAAGTGTCCCTTAGCAAGTTTGATCTTAAGATTATTTAGCAGAGTGTTTGGGTGTTCGCTTTAGGTATTCTCAACCTAAAGTGAAACTGTAGGCCTTTAAAATCAGACAGATTCCAGATTCACAAAGCCTTATTCTGATCTGAAAACTTAAAAAGCATCAACTGATTTTTTTTTTTGAGGGGTTGGAGCTGGGGAGAATGTAAAATCTATCCTAGTAGATAGAGTAGGAGAACTCATACTCCATTCGGAAAGTAACAAAAAGGTCCATGTGTGCATGGAATGTCCTAGAAAGAGGACCTTCCTGGGAACTCCGGAGAATCTTTCTTTTCACCGAGTGTCCCAAGTTGAAACAGGTATCTTTACCTGAATCTTTTTGCCTCTGGAGAGAAACACACTGTTTATTCTTCCTTCCCTAGGGAATTTTCTAGATAGAGCCGAGAGGGGCTGGGGCCATCAAGCAGACCAAAACCAGCCTAGGGGGCTGGCATCACTGCGGTCTGCTGCATACCAGGTGTCGCAAGGGGGTGGTTCCACGGTCCGGGTGCCAGGGCCTGGGGTCGGGGACCCCGGCAAGGCTTGGAGCGGGGGTCTAGACAGGTCATGGACTTGAAGTAGGGCCAGACCCGAGCGAGGGCGGCAGAGGGCCGGGCGAGGATGGGAGGGGGACAGAGAGTCCCCCAACGCCCAGAGGAGGCGTCGCTTTGGGCAGGAGGACACAGAGAGCGGCGGCAGGGGCTCTTTGTCCTTCTGATTCCCTGCGAAGGAATCATTCTCCTCCAACGCCTGTTCTTTGCGCCTTGCAAACTGCCTTCCTCCCACCTCTGTCCCCGTGCCTGCGGAGAAGCTTGTTTCTTGGGGACAAGAGAAACAGGACAGTTAGGAAAGGCAGTGGGCCTGCGCCTCCTGCCTCTAGGCCTGGGGCTCTGAGAGGGAGAGAGGGGAGGAGAGCGAGCCCCAGCCCTGGCTGGGAGAGCCGGCTGCCCGGGACCTCTGCGTGGGTCAGGCCAGCTCGTGCATGGCACAAAGCGGTGGCAGCTCCCCATTCAGCGAGACGCGGAGCCGGCCCTCCTCCCTCCTGCCCCGCGGCTGTGGGCCTGGGGGTCTGTGGGATGGATTTTCCTTCTCCCCCAGCCTCCCGAGTGTGCTGGCGGGGAGAAGAACGGGTGGGGGGCGCAATAGCCAGGGAACACCGTGCTCACAGTCTCCCTGCTTTCTCCTCCTCCAGCTAGCTCCCAAGCAGTTCTTGAGCCCAGCAGCACCTGGCGAGGTTTCAGTTCCCACCTTCCTAGAGTAAATCAGACCTAAAGAAATTGTGCGTGCGTGTTGCAAACAGTCGTCTGTAGCTTGAATCTAGTGGGCGGCATCTTTATAGAAAGTAATCAGAGATCACACCCGTGCGTGTTGGGGGGCACTCAGCTTGCAAAAGAGCGGGACCTCCTAGTTTCCGTGTTTCCAGCTTCTTCACTCCCCTCCCTTAGATGACAGGCCCGGGCTGTCCCCGGGGAAAGAGCCAAGTTGCCCTGCTGAGGGAGAGCTAGAAGGAAGTCTTCTCTGCACCAGGCTTGGGAAGGGAGGGATTAGAAGGAAGTCAATCCCATTCTCAGAATTAGGAAGTGGACATCACACACACACACACAAAAGACAAGAAAAAGAAAAAGAGAAGGAGGAGAAGGGGAAGAAGAAGAAAGAAAGAAAGGAAAGAAAGAAAGGAAGAAAGAAAAGAAAGAGAAAGAAAAGAGAAGGAAAGAAGGAAAGAAAGAAAAAGAAGGAAAAAAGGAAGGAAGGAAGGAAAGAAAGAAGGAAGGAAGGAAAGAAAGAAAGAAAAAGAAAGAAAAGAGAAGGAAAGAAGGAAAGAAAGAAAAAGAAGGAAAGAAGGAAGGAAGGAAGGAAGGAAGGAAGGAAGGAAGGAAGGAAAGAAAAAGAAAGAAAAGAGAAGGAAAGAAGGAAAGAAAGAAAAAGAAGGAAAGAAAGAAAGAAAGTCTGTTTAAGTTAGGGAGATCAGGAAAAAACAAAACAAAACAACCAAGGGTCCAAAGACATCCCAGGGCTGTTTTGAAAAAGTGAGATTGTAAATCTTTGGGCAGAATACTTCCCTGTCCTTGACTTAATTTTCTCAGCACTGAGGGAAACCAGCTAATTCCCCAGCTATCCAGACAACCAGGAGCATTTCTGGTCACTCGCAGCATCGCTTGTAAGTTTCTGTGTGTTTGCTTTTGACCTGTCTGATGGATTGCTGCTCTTCCTACAACTATTCTCACTGAGCAAATTCCTTTACATAATTCAAGTTTTGGTACTGAGAGAGAAGAGGAAGAAGAAGGGGGGGGAGGAACTGCCACAGAAAATAAACAATAGGTGAGGGATTTTTTTTTTTTTTTTTGAGACAGAGTCCCACTCTGTTGCCCCAGCTAGAGTGCCATGGCTTTAGCCTAGCTCACAGCAGCCTCAAACTCCTGGGCTCAAGCGATCCTCCTGCCTCAGCCTCCCAAGTAGCTGGGACTACAGGCATGAGCCACCACACCTGGCTAATTTTTTCTATATATTTTTAGTTGGCCAATTAATTTCTTTCTATTTATAGTAGAGACTGGGGTCTCGCTCTTGCTCAGGCTGGTTTTGAACTCCTGACCTTGAGCGATCCTCCCACCTCGGCCTCCCAGTAGGCGAGGGATTTTCACCCTCCCTTGCTAAATAAAAGTTTTACCTGTCATTAATTGTCAGTGCCACTCTACAGGGAGTGATTGGTCCTGTCAGCTGTGAGGAGGTACTTATTTTGAGGACAGAAGGGACTGCCTGGTAGGTGGCATTAACTAAAGATATCTCCTTGTAGGAAGTTGCTATTACATAGAAAACCTATAGAGCCACAAATTCCCTCAGCCAAAAAAAGACTCACATTACCAAGTTTTGGTCAATCTTTTCCTCTAAGTTCTCAGACAGCTTTTTTTCTGCCTATGCCTTTTCCTAAACGGGGGGGGGGGGGGGGGGGGGGGGGGGGGGGGGGGGGGGGAAGGGGAGGGGAAGAGAAGATGAGGAGAGCAAAATCACAAATTTAAAATCTTGATTTTGTTTCATTTCTTTAAATAAATATAAATATACATTTCATATAAAACTATTCATACAAAAGGGACTTCCAGCCACTCGGATCTCAAACTCCCCCCAGGCAAAATTTCAGAAAGCCAGCCCTACAGGGTTTGATTTTCTAAATCATTTGCAACGTCAATGTTTTCATCTTAAAACAACAACAACAACAGAACATAATCAAGAAACCCTGTGTTCTTATCAGGTTCTGAGAGACAGTAGGGCTGGGGAAGTGGCATGCGCTTTCAAAAACCCCCAGACAGTGTTAAACTTCAGGCAACCCTGTTTTTCCTCTGATACCAGATGAGACTGACTTGCATTCTAGGTTATTTACATGGTTTAAAGACAATCTATAGACTTTCGAGTGGAGTCCCAAATAGACAGGCCAAGAAGGAGACCCGAGGGTCAGGCCCGGCGTGTGTGTTCCGGGACTTGATCAGTTTCTTGTCCAGATGGGACCGCTGCGATCTGCGGGGACTTGGGCTCCCGGGTCCCCCCCTTCCCCGCCCCCCACCCCACGCTGGAGTTGCTTGGGGCTGCCAGGAGCCCACGGTGTGAGGGGGTAGGCGGCCTTCCCTCATAAAGGGGAAATCTCCTTGTCGTCGTTGGCCGAGGCCGGCGACAGGGAGTCCTCGTCCTCGGAGCGCGCGACGTGCGCCTGGCCGCCGACGCACTTGCAGCCCGCGTGGCTGTTCCTCTGCGTGCCCTTCCCCTCCTTCTTGTGCTTCACCCGGCGGTTCTGAAACCAGATTTTCACCTGCTTCTCCGACAGGTTCAGGTACGTGGCAATCTCGATCCTCCGGAGTCGAGACAGGTACATGTTGGAGGAGAACTCCCGCTCCAGCTCCAGGAGCTGGCTGCTGGTGAACGCGGTCCTCATCCTCTTGCCGCTGGGGACCTGGCTGGCGTCGGAGCCCCCTGCGGACCGACCGGGAGAGGACAGACAGGTAAGGCTCCCTCCAGCCGCCCCCGGCCCACGTGCCATCCTCGGGGAAGGACGCCTCTCGGGGACCCACCCGCGACGCCCACCTGTATCCTTTCCCGTTCCACGGCGCGGCGCGGGGTGCGGAGGAAAGGGATGCTCAGAGCGAATGAAGGCCTTTGAGGCGCGGGACGTAAAGTCAGGGGATCAAAGAGGGGTGGGGACTTGCTCTGTACGATCGTCGCTCTTAGAGCCCGGCGGAGAGGCGAGGCGTGCGGGCTTAGCCAAAAACTATCAAAACGCTTTAGCCAGCCAGACGCAGGCGTGATGCACTTAAGTTCAAACACACCCACCCAACCCCGAAGCAGTCACGTTCGAGGTCCCCAAGACCCCTACTGTCACCTTCGAGGTCCCCGAGACCCCGATATGACGCGATACTGAGCGCCGGCACCCGGAGTGAGGCGCGCCAGGCTGCGTGGAGAGGTTGGCGAGCCAAGTTCCACCTGCGTGGAACTTCTGGAAAATGACTCTCCGATGTCGCACTAAAAGCCCCTCCTTCCTCCCCACCCCGCCCCCGGCTCCCCCGTCCCCCTCCGCGGGCGGAAAGTTTGCTCGCGGAGCACCGAGGGCGCCGCGCGCAGGTCCCCAAGGCCCCGCCCTACCCATGGTGAGGCAGTGGAATCTCCGCGGGTCCGCCACGTTGTAGGTGGTGGCGGCGCAGACAGGTGCGTGGTGCTGCGGGTGTCCCAAGGCCGCGCGGCGCCGCTGCGCCCGCGCCGCGCCGCCGCCGCGGCGAGCCGGGCTGCTGGGCCGGGTGGTGGTGATGGTGCGCGTGGCCCACCCGCGGGCAGAACTGCGCGTCCCCGGGCCCCGAGGAGAACTGGCTCTTGAGCAGAGGCAGAGCCCCCGCACCCCCGGCCGCCCCGCTGCCCCCGGCCCCGGTGCCCCCGGCCGCTGCGCCCCCGCCGCCGGCGCCCACGGGCCCCCGCGAGGAGTGCAGGTGAGAGGTGACGCAGAGCGGGCACACGCAGAACGCGCCGCTCTTGCGGGACGGGCAGCCTGGCCCGGACACCGACATCACCAACGGGGACGGCATGCCCAGCGGGATGAAGAAATCGGGCCCGGGGTGCAGGTTCGGCAGCGAGGGCGCAGGCCGGGAGGAGTCCTTGATGATCAGCGAGTCCACATAGAAGGAGCGTGACATGTCGCGAGGGGTGGGTGGCTGCAGGGCCCGGCCGGCCGCGGCGACCCCTCCCCTCTCGCCTTCTGAGCTCTGTCCCCCGGAGCTGCGTGGGCGCCGGCGGCCAAGCCCTTGGGGACGCAAAGGTGTAGGAGTCCCGGCCCGGAACAAAGGGGTCCCCGGAGAGGGCTGGTCCTCGCGTCCCCCGCCCGGCGCCCCGGCTCCGGGATTTTATAGCCCCCACCCCGGCACGTGATGCCGCGGAGTACCGCTCGGCTCGGGCTCCGCGGCGGCTCCCCACCCTCGGGATAGGCTGCCCGAGTCACAACAGAAGCGGCGAGGAGGGGCGGGCGCGCGGCAGGGGGGGCGCGGGGGAGGGGGAGGGGGGAGACTTTGCAAAGTGTAGGTTTTGTTAATTTCCCGGGGAGGCCGGCCTCCTCCCCCCTTTCTCCACGCTGTCCCGAGAAATCACCGCGCTGCATCCTTCTTCATGCCTCGCCTGGGCCCCAGCCCGACTCTTCCCGGCCGGGCCACGGAGCGCACCAGGTGGGGACTCGGAGGCCTTTTTGATGGGCAAGCCCAGCAACCCTGGCCCGCGGCGGCTGCGGCGGGCGTGGCGAAGTGTGAGGCCTGCGGTTTCGGACCCGCATCCCTCCAGTCCCGGGGCGCGGCTGCGGTCACCATCACACCTACTCCTGTCCCCCCAGCTTTGGGACTTAGCCAAGGGCATTCAGGTGGTTAGTTCACTACGATCCAGCGTAACAGGGAGGTCTCCCAGCTGCGAAGCCGCCAAGCTTTTCATTCTGATGCTTGGGAGGTTTAAAGTGGAGAGCCACTCAGACCCACGACCCCTCCTATGTGCCCTTTCTAATCTGCAGCACCCCCCTGCCACCCGGAGAGATGTCGAAGAGTCACCCTTCCTGCAAGTGGTGTCACCGCTGCGTTTCCAGTCCAACCCTGCAAACTCCACCCCAAAGATTTTGGAAAGGGGATGCCAAGCACCAGCTCTCCAGGAGGAGACTGGGCAGAGGTTGGAGAAGACCTTTGCTTAGAGTCTGGTGGTCCAGTGCCCCTCCCCGTGTCACTAAGCTTGGGTAGCTGGCAAGGCTAAGCTGGAGGCACTCTTTCCTCTGCTTCCCAAAAGCCCAGGAAGAATGGGGGGCATGGAGTCACGCAAGGAATCCTGTGTCCCGCTAGGAGAAATGGCTTGGTAAAGGAAATCTCTCTGGGCAGTGCGGTCCCCCGAAGACTTCTGTGCCCCTAGCTGCCCGAGTGACGACGGTGACCCACGTTGGGGCTATTGATCTTTGGGCAAGGCAGCAGAGGGGACAGTTTTCTCTCTTCCTCTCCCCTTGCAGAAAAGTGGCCGGAGCAGGGAGCCTGGGTAGCAGCTACACGTTCCCAGATCGTTTCCCCAGATCAGCTAACTTCCAAGAAACTTCTCTCTCCACCTGAGAGAGAAACAGAGTGCACAGATCCAAGAGCACGGCCTGGAGGCATGGCTCCGTCTCTCTGTCCTCTTTCTCCCTCTTCTCCTCTCCATCTCTTCCCAGCGTTCTCTCTTGCCTGCTAGAGGAGTAATTGGGTTGTGGGGATGCCCCGCTCTGGGGAGCCCAGGATTTATGGATGGCAATTAAAGTTTTATGAATTGCAGCTGAGGCTGGTTATTGAGCTATTTGAATGTGATTAGAATTCAATTAGAAAGCGGTTAGTGGACGATGGGTCTCTGGAGTGTAAACAGACAGCTATTCCAGAAATGTGCTAATCCAACATCTTGTGACAACAATTAAGGAGTCTCAGGGTTTAACGTGGGGCAGCTCAGCTGTAACTACTTTTGCAGCACAAGGCTTGCCGAGGCCGCCTTCGCAGCCGCTCAGCCCCACCCTAGCCCACCCTTGCTCAGGCCCGGGGAATCCAGGCAGCCCCTGAGATCATTCCAGCCCCAGGAAGAAGACTTGGAGCTCAATAATCGAGAGAAGCTTAATGGCAGGGTATTTTTTTTACGGGTCTAAATTATCCAAATAGGTGACTCAATTTCCCTGATTCATTTTGTGCAAAAAAAAAAAAATGTATGTATATATCCTCTTTGAGAGTAATCACTTTCTCCTTTTTCCTCCTCTGAGTTAGGTAGGTGTGTTTGGGGGTGGCAGTTTGGGTCACAATGTTCCCAGTGGTTTGGGGTGTGTTCACAGGAAGAACGTCTATGCGAATATGCTAGAAATTGCACTCATGTGCAGCTCATTTTATTTTAGAGAATCTTAATTACACAGGAGGCTTGAAGCATCTCACTCAATTCATGTCGGACTATGGCAACTTTTGGTTTCCAGTGCCAAGGAGTTTTGAGAAAGACGTGGGGTCCACAGGGTTGCTAAGGGCTGCAGCGGCTTGGGGCCAGGCTGAGGCTGAAAGCAGGAACGAGTCTTAGAAACTCACCCTTAGGGTACTTGGTTAATTGCTTGAGCCCACCAAGAGCATGCAGTTTGGAGTCATGTGTCTTGCAGAATCTGTCTTCTCTGACTCTTCTTTCTAGTTTGGTTTGGATCTTTGTATCTCTCTTCCTCTCTCCCTCTTCTGTCCTTGAATCTAGCCCCCAGCGGCAGAAGCCCACCCTACCTGCCTACCCCCCCCCACCCCAACAAACGAAGCCTACCCTCCTTGGCCGGGGGTGGCATGGCCCCCCAGGCCTAACCAGCCCTGCTGGTCCCCAGAGCAGAAGTGCCCCAAACCTGCTTGGAGCAGGGGACCCCGAGCCCTGGTCTCTCCCATGAGTGAGTACACAGACCGCCAGCGTGTGCCCAAGGCGGGCCGCACAATTTTATTTCTCAGTGATTCTGTCTGATAAAATTTCATCGTCCATTAAGTAATCCCCGAAATGAGAGCTCTTATGAGCCTATAATGAGCTCTAATTGCCACGACTCGGGGAGCCACGTGGAAGGATTTATTCGGTATTAAGCAGTTGGGTACAGAGTACAGGCTGTTACCTAAGCCATTACTTTCATAATTCAAGGAGAAAATTAGTTCTTTTAAGGGAAGGGGGAAATCCTTTGATTCCCTCCCTCTTGCTCGGGATGATAGGAGGGTGGTTTCATGTTCCTTGAGTGCAAGACGGTGTCACAAATGTGGAGGTAACAAAATTACTCTCCCCACCTCCTCCTGGCCAGGGCACCCCACCTCCCCACCCCCCTCTTAACTTAGGAAAAAAAAAAAAATCAAAGCAGTTCTGAAAAGAACAGCAGAGGCAGAGCCTGGGTGAACAGTGTCCTTCCAGCTCGGGCCTGAGATTTGAATTCTTACTCCCAGCTTGCAAAAGGTCTTCCAGCACTTCTCACCCCCTCTGCCGCCCTGGCACCTGACTTGAACCCCCCATTTCTGTCTCAAGTCTCTTTCTTCCTGTTCCCTTTCATGGGCAAAGTCAGGCAGAGTAAAGGGTGGGGACTTAGCCTTGCTTATTCAACAGGCCCCAGATTTCTGACCTGTTGATCTGCTTAGCCGTTTTTTTTTTTCTTTTTTTCCAGCCTGTAAGTCCCACTTTGCTCCTCCCTCTGCGTCCCCCAAAGTGCCCCCTTCTTTCACCTCCCCCCCACCCCCCCCAGTCCTTTTTTTCTCTGGGTTTCAGCGTTTGCCCACATGCTTCTGGACTCCAAATGGAGGCTTGCAAGCAGGGAGGGACAGACCCGGGCTTGGCGGGGCTGCCTCGGATTTATTTGCTCCTCTTACATTGATTTCATATTAGTTTCCAAAGCGATGAATGATCTCAAAGCTGGGTTTTGTTAGCCGAACACAAACAGGAGACAGGACTTACTCGCCCCCGGCTCTCTTTAATGAGGTCATTATCAAAGCGTGAACAAGTCTATGAATGTTTTATTGAAACTGCATCGTTAACTTGTATCCATCTTTTTCTCCGAGTGGCATTGTGATATTGCTGTCTGTGGCACATCTTACCCGATATAGCCCGAGATTTCCCCATTCTCCGTAACCAGGCAACCCTTTCTGAATACCCAAAAATTGAAAAGAACCGCTTAGTCTTCAAGAAAGTCCTCAATAATAGTGGAAAAGAACAAAGATCCAGGAGACAACAAAATGCCACAGGGGTGACTTTTCATGAGCAATTATCTCTCATTAATCAGAAGAACAGCTGCAATATTAATTTTCTCTCTTTCTTCCTCTCTTTTCACAGTCCCCAACATTTGAATAATCATAAATTTTGATTTTATGAAGGAGTCACATTTTTCAGGGGCTGGAGGAAAGCAGCAACCTAGGTGAAGACGAGAAGAAAAACGCTCTCATTTTATTTATTTTTTGTTTGTTTGGGCAAAGCTGCCAACAAAGCAAAGTGAAAAAATAAAATAAATGCCAGAGAAAATGGTCCCACCCCCACTTTCTTCTTCTAGATAGCTGTTGAGAACAGGACTCTCTTTTCCTCCACCCTCTTCTCACAACTACCTCTCCCTTCTTTCCTCTCCCCACCCAGACCCTGTCCCCAGTTCTGCTCTGAGAAGGGCGGAGGGAAATGTCCCCGGCGTCTGGCGTGGGAGTTTCAGCCGGGTTTCAGCCCGTTTAACTTGCAAACGTGAAGCCAAGCGTTGTCGATCTGACCAAAGGGACACTCTTTGGGCGTAACTTGCATTGTGGCCATCAAAAGCCCGCCAGCCTTGGATGAACTGAGACGTGCATTCAGCAGAAATGGTGCGGCCCGCTCCCCTTTCGGGCTCTGGAGAGGCGATTGTTCGCAGGACGTGTAGCCAGAGTGGAAAACGTGGGTCCCCAGATAAGGCTATAACCTGCAAACGAGCTTGGGGGACTTAAAAGAATCTCATTAAAGCAGGGGCCTGCAATTAGCAAGTACACACTCAGAGAGAACTCAAGCTTCTCTTGAAAAGCTTCGGGCTGAGATGAAAGAGGGCAATTGGGAGTCAGTCCCCACATTCCTGTGCTGGCTGAGTGATGGGGGGCTCAGGAGCTGGGCTGTCCCTTCAGCTGCCCCAGTATTGTCACTTTTCATGCAAGGCCAGGCGAGGCCCTTCCAGAGAGAGAGGGCAGGCTGCGGGCCCGGTTGCTCATGCACCACCAAAAATGATCTTGCTTCTCCCTGGTGTTTATTCAGAGCAGAGGGGCCTTTGAGAAACGTGAATTCGCCTTTGTGCTCGCCACAGTTTCAAGAGTTCAATTCGGCCCTGAGGAGGAGGAGGGGGGGGGTGGTTGGCTCAGAATTTCAGAAACAGCCCAGTCTTCAGGCCCTCGGAAAAGGGTTTTGAAGGCACTGAATGCCTGCCACATGGCCCTCTGCTCCCACTTCACCTTAATTAATATTTGCACCCCCCCCAATCCTCAAGCCTAAGAAGGCATTCCTCTCCCACCCTCAGAGCTCGCCCCTGTCATCAGAATAAAATTTATTGAGTGCCTACTCGGTGCCCAGCGTGTGCTAGGCGCTGCGGGGAGCCGTCTGAAAAGCCCAAGACTGTATCCAATAGAATATTGTTTCATTTCAGTAACAATGGCCTGAGGTGGGGAACAATTATCCGGATAATTGAAGCAAATGCTCCACCTCCCTCCCTCCCTCTCCAATTCCCCGGGGCACTTACCATTTTTTACTACCCCATTCAGAGATGGTGGGTTTTGTATGGGTGTGGGGAGGGGACGGAAGGGAGTGTAAGGGGTGGCTGAATTATTCACATGCATACAAAGTTCCCACTCCCTTTTCCTAAATTCGCTGAAAGCATTTGAGCCAAAATTGCTGCTTAGTTATGGGGGTCAAGACTGTTTTTATTAATGTTACCCAAACGAGAGCGATCCTTTATAATGTTTTAGCAATCCAGCCTTTCTGGTTTTCAACCTTGGTCACCAACAAAAATCACCTGGCGAGCTTTATAAAAATACCAACGCCCTAGAGATTTCGATTTAACGATGTGAGAGGCCAGATCAGAATAATAAGAATAATAATCATAATAAACCCAAAACTCTTCATGCAGTTCTGATGCAGGTGAGAGTAGAGAAATGACTGAAAAATCCTACCCCTTATATTCTCCTAGTCTGGAACCTGAAGAGAGTAACTTAACTTCTTTGAGCCTCATTCCATCATCTCTGGTAATTGGAAAGTGTGTATTGAGCGCCTACTGTATGCTAGACTCCGTGTGCTCCGGGAGTTTCCAGTAGGTTAATCGAATCAACAAATCAGCTCAGAGCTGGTGAGTTACAAAAGGTCGTGTGAATATGAAAGAAAATTTCTAGAGGTTCTGGGAGTGGATAAAAATTGAAGCCTGAAGTGACATTTGAACGGAGACCTGCTTGGAAAAGGTCTACTTTGGGGAATGCGTTCCGGGCACCCACGAGAGTTTGTCTTGGTTAATTGCAAGAACTGAAAGGAGGCCCAGGAGAGTGGAGAAAGAATTTCGGTTTCTGCATCTATGGAATACGGAGAATGACTGCCTAGCAATGGGCCTGGTAAGAGCTCATGGGATCTCTTGTTGGTTGTATATTATTATCTGGGACCTGCAGCTGGCTGGGCCTTTGAAGCTTGGGCATGAGGTGTCAGTGGCCCTGGGCTTGGCAGCCAGGAGCCAGGAACCAGAAACCAGGAAGCCAGAGCTCCTGCCCAATCCTCTGTCCATTCCTGCGCACC